ATCGAATGACTGCCCCCGCCTGGGTGAGGCGGGAGGGAGTGTCAGACTCTTACTGACTAAAAACCACCCCGTTCCTTCTCCTGCACGTCGAGCCGGAGCCCCGGTTACCCGTTAGGTTCTCCGCGACTCCGAATCGGCATCGGCCCTATTGGGCCCCATCTGTGGTGGTCTGATGGCTCTTTGAGGCGCGCGCGGAACGCGACGCGCCGTACGCTCGGGTCTGTTTCTGGTCGGACGGGGAGCCACCCATGCTCGCCGTCCGCAGGCCCGCGCTTACGGTGGCCGGAGATCGTCCCGCGATCCCCGACGCCCGGTGTGTCCTTCGCGATGGCTGGGTTGCGAGGAGGCAGCGCTTCGCTGCCTCACGCGTCCCGCCTCCTCCTTAGCTAGCATGACTGCTTCGCAAAAGGAGGAGACGGCATCCCAGTCCCCCTCGCTCCGCATCATGGCCTGCACTAGGCCCGGACGCGAGAGGTCGCCATCGCCGATCACTTCCCTGAGGACACGGCGGTGCTCAGCCCACGCAGGGCATTCCGCGACAGTGTGTTCCACCGTGTCCTCAGGGCGGTCCTCGCAGGTGTCAGACCCTTACTGACTAAAAATCGTCCCGTTCCTACACCTGCCCTGTTCGTTCCTGCTCGAATGTAGGAGCCCCGGCAACCTGTTAAGTCCTCCGCGGCTCCGTATCAGCATCGGCCGTGTTGGGCCCCCTCCGTGGTGGTCGGATGGCTCTTTGAGGCGTGCGCGAAACGCGAAGCGCCGTACGCTCGGGTCTGGTTCTGATCGGGAGGCGAGCCACCCGTGCTCGCTGTTCGGAGGCCCGCGCTTACGGTGGCCGGAAATCGTCCCGCGAAAAGAAACTCGTACTAAGGGCTCAGATATAACGCGGAGAAAATCATAATACAATGTTACACAGTATACTAGTAGAAATCACTGACCACAAAGGCCCGGTTGGCCTCGTTGTGCGGCAAGTTCTTGGGCTCGGTGGTGGCGAGCCGTCCGCGCAGCTCCCTGCTGCCGCTGCAGAGCACGAGCCAGTCGTCCGCCACGCGCGCGCGCATGCGCTCGCGACTGCCGTCCGCCCTGCATAATGACAATATTTACTACATCACCCAGAATCATAAAGAACACTGTCGAATCGACAAACCATGCACTGTACAAGCTATTTATTAAATTATCTTTTACAGGTGACACACATAACTCTAAAGAGGTAACTTATTAATGTATTCCGAGTACCGACGTAGCCTATTACCAACAATTGTCCCGTCGTTTGTGGCGTAATGATACTCATTAGTATGGGTCCCTAGGGTGACTTGAAACAAATCGAGTCACCTCGTTAAAGAGTTATGCAACTAAGCCGTAGCCGTAAAAGTTGTTTCAATTATTTGAAGAAGTTTACAATATGCGCTTAACTTACCATACGATCAGCAATCCTTTATCTTGAGATCCATCGGGTGAGTCAATACTTTTCTTCGCTCTGAAACATACACGTATACAATATTTTTTTTAAAAGTGCCTTCAACAAAATTTATATATATTTTTTTTCTATTCTGAAGTTATTTGAATTATGTAACTTACCCATTAACAACAGGTTTCGGTTTCTCACGCTTAGGCGTTGAGGGATAACTGAAATAATATTTGTAATTAATATGAAACTAATTTAAGTTTTATCGTCATACAAGTTAAAGGTGTTAATGCTTTGCATATTTACCTGGCATCACCGCCCCCACCACCGCCAGAATTGCAAGCTGCCAGTTTAGCGCGCAACCTCTCCACTTCTTCACGTAATTCTCTGTGGAAAACATAGGTTTTTTTAAATTAATTTATTAGAAGTTTCCAATGTAATGTAATAAGGTTTTGCTGTTCACCAGATGGCGACAATGTAGTGTCAGGTAATATTTGTCCAGTTACTGTAACTGTCTTATATTTAATGTCCAACGACTGTACTGTACTCACATCAGCAAATAGTTAATTGAACAAGTGACCTCTAGCTAAACTAGAGAGCCTGTGCCTTTAGCCAAACGCCACTTTAGTGCTTATCTACAGAGAGAGTACAAAACTAAATGTATGGGGATGACACTGACAAGTGTCAAAATTTACGTCAATCCCATATAATTTGGTTTTCTATTCTACATGTAGACAAGCGCTAAGTGGCATTTGGCTACAGCTGCAGTTCATTAAATTTAAAATATATATTATTATTATATATTATATCTATCCAGCATTATATATACCACACGTGTCTTCTGCCTAAGATAAACCTGAGTTACCCAGATTAGATAGCGACATAAACCCAAACATTCCCACTGCATCCGATCTATAAATATCAGATTGTGTCTTATCTTAATAGTTATTGATCAAACACGACTACAAGGTATAAATTATCAAATCGGTGAACGGCTGGACCGATTTCTTAATTATTTTTTGTTGTGTTTCTTATTGTCAGGGAAACGTTTTTATGGGAACTGTTATTCTTGAGAAAATGTAAAAAAATATATTACCTACCCCTTAAAAATTATTTCTAAAATATGAAATGTACAGTAAATAGTCGGTGACTATTGACATAAATATGTAATTTGCATGTGTATAGAGTAAGTCGTTACCTGTTAGCCCTCCGCAGTGGCGGCGAGGCTGCAGGCCTGCGCCCCGACCGACCGAACAACTTGTTGCTCAGTGAACACTTCTTACGACCAGCCTCCTCTACTTTGGCCTGCCATACAAGAACGTTATAATTTTACACTTCATCTCTATGAATAACACGTCAGAACTATGAATACCATAAAGGAGGTAACTATGTGACGTAAAGATGCTTAAGCATACATATATATGTATTATATGGTTCTATTTTTTAGCAATATTTTGAAACTGTTTTAATTAGAAGTTTGTTTCTGTAATAAAGTTGAAATAGGTACCTGCAGGAAGTCGATGAGCTTGGCCTGTTGCCGCAGCGTGGCGTCTGCCTTGGTCTCTCGAGTGCGCCACCACGCCTCGGCCGCTTCCGCTGCCTCGCGCGCGGCTGCCAACTCCTCCTGGACACGGCAAACTTGTACACGTGACTTACATGTCTACATAGACACCGTCGTAGGGTAGGTACTTTTTATGTAACGATCATTTGAATTTAGGGATTTGTGGAAGTCGGATAGGGGATACCCGGGGGGAGGTGTGCGCGTGGTGTGTGTGTGTGTGTGTGTGTGTACCTGCACGTCGTGTAGCGTGGCCTGTAGTTGCAGCGCGTGCGCGTGGTGTGTGTGTGTGTGTGTACCTGCACGTCGTGTAGCGTGGCCTGTAGTTGCAGCGCGTGCGCGTGGTGTGTGTGTGTGTGTGT